TTGAGGAGACAGCAGGCGACGGGGATTAGAGATGGTGAACTTTTTAGAACCAGAAAGAGCCAAATCAGAACCTTGGCCGGCTGTCCACAGCGCGGGCCGGGCTGGGTCTCTTCTAGCCTCACTTGTCAGTGGGGAAATGAGCATTGTGTCTGACGCTCATGCCGAGGACAGATGGCTGCGCTCTCCTTCCTCCCGGCCCACCGCCCTCTAACACCCTCCGCTCCCAGCACCTGGGGCCAGACAGGTGGTGATGGCCCATTATCACCACCTGCTGGTCACGTGCTGAAATTGTCAGTACAACATCCCAGAGAAGATGCTCCAACTGTGGAAATGAAAATGGGTGAGCTGGAAAATGGGTGCAAATGGCCAGCATGTAGCAAAACTGCTCTGGGAGGGGAGCATAGCAGACCAAACCTACACCTCACATGTCCAGCCACCACCATTAAAGGAGTTGTGCAGACAAGTTCTGAGCCACCGAGAATACTTCAAGGTCAGAAAACAAAACGAAAACTTAAGTCAGGGAGGCAATGCAACATGAGAAAGGCAGAGGGATCGAGATCACACACATAAGTGTGAGCGCACGTGCACACACACACGCACTCAGACACGCAGGCATCCTCAGCCATGCAAGGCGGTCACTACAGCACATGGCACTGACTGCAAAGGTAACCTGCTGGACAGCAGGGAGGCAGCGGGCGGCACTCCAGCACCTGCCGTGGCAGACGGCGGGTCCGGAGGGATGGCTGGGATTGCCCCATTACTCAGGCAAGGCAGGGGCAGATGAACGTATGGGGTCCCTGGCAAAGGTGCGAGGCAGCTAGAAACGCACCCCCCAAGGTGAGAGCTGATGACCGCGTGTGCTCCAATCACCACCTCACCCCATCTTGCGCTTGGCCCCCCAGGAACGCTAACTCACGGCTGACACCTCGGGAGTTGGGGGGGGAAGTTCACCCGCAGTCATTATAAACAAGAATTTACAGACTTCCAATAAGACTTGAGAAAAACCCTCAGCCAACAGTTGTTGCGGGGATAATTGTTCTGACTCTGTCAATACGGCCGAGCTGTCCCTCCATTGACTGCAAACAGCAATTTCTTTCAGCCAGGGTTATAAGTCGGAGCTCCCAGGCTCAGCGCGGTCGTTACGGTGACAAACAGTTTAAGCCACAACAGGATCTGACACGGAGATCAATTCCGGGTGCGGAAAGAATCCACACACAGAGATCCCAGGGTGCGGATTTACAGCCGCCACTTTTTATTCTCTCTTGCTGCAAAAATTACTCTGTCAAACACTTAGGGGAGTGAGAAAAGATGTAAAAAAATTAATTTTTCATGTAGTCCTGAAACAGCCTTTCCCAGTGCTGACGTTCAAGATGAATATGTCCCTGTGTTTAAAAAATGACGCCGTGCAGCACGTGGTGGCGGGTCCAGGGGGGATCTGGTCCCCGGAGCGGCTCAGCGGCCAGCAGACGGCAATTTGAAACCCTGGACGGAGCTGTCTGCATTTCCTCTAAGGGCAGATGTGGGGCTCGTGTTAGCAATGCCAAATCATATTAGACATTTAATTTTAAACCTCGGGTACCGACGTGAGCCCTTCCCAGGGGCACAGCCAGAATCGGGGCGGGTGGGGGAGGGGATCCACTGCCCAGACTCTGTGCTGCCTCTCCCAGAATCGACCCTCACCTCCTGTTTTACAGTTTTTCCCCCAATTTCAGAATCTTCTGTGGGATGCGCAGCTGCCCACGGCTGCTAAGGGGCAGAAACGGAAACACTGAGGCGTGCCGAAGGGGACGGTGTCACCAAGCTCTCTGGAGCCAGTCTTGCTCAGAGTGGACAGCGTCGAGTCCCAGGGTGCTATGGGCTGTTCGGTCCCCAGCACTGGGCCCACGCACTCGGAGGCGGCAGAGCTGTCCCTGCCCCACCCGGCTGCTGGTCCCAAATCCAGCTGTCCTGGGTCTAAAATCCAAACTGGAGACTGGGGAGGGGCTTTCGGCAGCTGTCACTCCGTGAGAAAAAGGCGGGTCTCATCAGGTGACATCATGAAACCCGTTCACAGATGTACCACTCCTGGGTGTGCCCTGGGGCCTGGCCACTTAGGCAGCACCCCCAACCCCTCCTGCCACAGGCTGAGGGCGTGTCTTGCAGGCCTGGCCAACCCTGGGGCGGGGGTCCAGCTGGTTCCCAGGAGCAGTCAACAGCCACCGGAAGCAAAGCTCCAGCACAGGGGTCTTCCAGCTTCAGCTTGTTCTGGGTGGGCAATGTGGCCTTTCGCAGGATGTGGAGTGGGACAGCCTCCCACCTGCCAAGCGGTGCCTGCAGCGGCTGGGCGAGCGTCAGAGCGAGCTCCCACAGGACTCCCCTGACAAATGCCTGCCTTCCGCCCAGAAAGCAAGGCACGGTGCAGGCCCTGCCAAGGCGGGGGGCCCTCCTGTGCCATCCTGCCGCCCTTCCGAACGGGGCTTCCTCAGCACTGGCTGCCCATCAGCTGGCAGCTGGGCCTCGCCGCACCCCTCTCCCTCGGCTCTCCTCACGGTGCTGCGCCCGCTAAGACCTTGCCCTTCGCACTGGCTCCTTGGCTGCCTGGCTTCCCCATCTCTTCCTCACCAAGTCTTTGTCCAAGTTGCTCCTGATGCTTATAATAACTTGTTCCTGCTGTTTGGTGTGTGCGCATGCGCGCATACACACACACACACACACACACACACACACACACACACACACACACACACTCCATCTTGCTCTGAAAGCGTTGCTCAAGTCTGAGTCTCTTCAGGAAGATTTCCTCGACTAACTCTATCATTGCTCCAACCACCCGCAGAGCCGCAGCCCGGGGTCTGGCTCCAGCCCGCAGCAGCTGGCGCTCGGGACCCCACTTCCTTGTGTTTCTCCTCTCCTGTGTGTCCAGGCTCAAGCCTTGGGAGGTTTGCTGGACACCCATGTGTGGCTCACATATGTGAAATTGCATTGTCAGTTGGAAAGCAAGCACGCACTAGCGGCCTGGGTCCTGCAGAAACAGGCACATCCGGGCCATGGAGAGGAGGGTGGCTGAGGGCCTGGCAGTGCAGACGAGTGTAACCAGAGAGCCGCTGGGCCTGGAGGCATGACAGTATGTGCCGCACATCCAGTGGCGGCCAAGGCAGAGAGCCGGGCAGGCGGGAACACACAGGGTCCACGTCAGAAGGACGGACATGCAACTCCTAAGGCCTTCTCTGTGCAACTCGTCTGCAGCGGGGCATGCTGGGATGCCTGGGGTCCACGGGGGCACGCTGGGCTCCACTCCCAGCTCCTGCTTCGGGTTTCTGCTGATGCAGAGCCCGGAAGGTAGCCGGTTCCCTGTCCCCGACGTCGGAGACACAGACTGAGTTGCCAGCTTCCAACGGCAGCCCCTGAAGCACAGGGGTGTGACACCGGGAGAGAGAACCAGCGGACGGGAGAGCTCTACTTGTTCCTTGCTCTTGTCTCAAATAAACACACAGCTATCCAAATCCACCTGCTCACCTCACCTCTGTGTGTGTGGTGACTAAGTCCCCAGTTCTCTCTGGATCCCCAGTGCTCCCCCAAACGGCATTCTTGTGGCAGACACGGAGCAGAAGTAGCTCCCCGCTGTCACTGGGAGCCCCGTGCCTCAGTCACACCAAGGGGTGTCACTGTGTGGCACCATTGCGCAACGAGGAGCTGTGCGACAAGACAAGGTACCAGCCATGTCTACACAACACGCTCCCAGAGGACCTGGCTCGGCTCCCTCCCACACCGCAGTGCGGTGCCCGAGTGAGGACATCCGACAGCGGCGCTCACGGACGAGCAGTGCTCCGCGGCACCCGAGAGTCACAGGATGAGGCATGTGAAAAGCCTGTTCCGCCCAGCAAGTCACCATGACAAAGAAAACACAGCTCCTGGGTCACCCAGGCCACAAAGCCAGGCTGCCCTGGAGGATCACGTGGGAACAGCACACCTACCCACCGAGGGAACACGGGACTTGCTGGAGGTTGCCTGGTGGGCTTGCACCCCGAAGCTCCTCCAGCAGGTCCCAAAGTGGGGCGTGGGAGGGTCTCGATTCCAGAGGAACCCGAAAGGGGTCCACGGCAAACCTCTCCCACTTGCCAAGTGAAGCAGGCCCCTGGGGCGGGAAGTGAGCATGGGTGGGCGAGGCTCCATGCTGCCAACACTCCAGGGTCAAGGTACCCTCAGAGTCTGCCTAGCCTGGCCTCACCGCCTTCCTCCTCGCATGGCTGGGAGGTGGGTACCTGTGGGTCTGTAGGTGACGGCTAGTGCCGGGGGTGCTGCGAAACTGGCAACGAGGGTGGGAGTTGCCCGAGCTACTGTGCCCACTAGAGCAGTGGCAGTGGCAGGGTCCACGGGGAAGACCTGACGTGCGATGTGTTCATGAGGACAAATCCTGCTGAGAGCATTCCAAAACCCTGTCTGTGAGGCTACACGTCACGCTGGGAACTCCTCTAAACATGGGTACCTGTGGGCACCACCCATGGGCAAAACCCACACAGGCAGCCAGTGTGCCCTCCACACCACGCCATGTATATTCTCACACAGCCGCCAGGAGAGGTCCCCAGGGGGCACAGCTGTCCTCCTCAAGACAGTGGGTCTCCATTGTTGGAAAAAAGAAAAATGCTGAAGCAAGCCCAACGCTGGGGAACCTGGAAGAACCCATGCCAGGCAGGGCTGTGACCCGGACTCTGTCTCTCAGCTCTGACACTTCCCTTCCCCTTCAAGTGACCCTGCGGAAACCACCTGCCCAGGCTGTGGGCTCAGGTGCCCAGCCCATCAAGCGGATGAATGTGGACTCCTGACACCAAAGAGGAATTGATAAAGCATTGTCACGGGACAGCCTGTCAAGGACAGAACACTCCTGGGACAACGGGCGAGGCCGTCACTGACGTAAGACAGGTCCCCCGGGGCGCCGCGCTCAAGTGCAGTATGGACAGCTGGGCTGGCGCCTCCCATGGCCCTGGCGGTGGCCGCAGTCCATGGGGCTGTGCCCTTCTTACCACTGCTGATGGCCGAGTTGGCAACGACAGTAGCCTCGCTCCACTGGTCGGCACTGGAGACAGAGTAGGAACGCTGGTGCATGCCGTCGGGCCGGCTGTTGAAGGAGACCAGGCTGATGCCGCTCGCCAGCTGGGACCCCGGCGCGCTACAGACATTCCCTAGAAACAAACAAGTCGGGTGAACACCACGCCGGGCCGCGGGCCGCGGGCCGCAAGACGACAGCGCCAAGACGATCGCAGCACGCCGCGTGCGGCCCGCGATGTCCCCTCATGCCGAGCAAGGCCAGCCCGGGGCAGATATCTCAGACAAAGGCTGACATCCACCTTGGCTGAGCCGCGGGAAGGAAGCCAAGGCCACAGACGACTGTACTTGGCAAAATGATGCTACGAAGACTTGCGGCTCTACTGTGACCTCTGGGCCTGGCAGAGGTGAAGACAAACGGACCGACGGATGGGGTCAGGGCCAGGGAGCGTGCTCGCGTCAGTCAGGCTGTGGGAGAGCCTGGAGCTGGCCATGCTCGCTGCCCCAGCGCCAACGCGGTGGGGCCGACGGGGGATGTCTCACGGGGCGGCCGTACTTTACGATCTGCACAAATCAAGGAGACGGGTAGAAAACGCAGGCCCGTGGACCAGATCAGCTTACCCGTAACCTTGAACAGACTTGGTGGCGGTTACGACCTCCCTGTATGTGATGACATACGAGTCCACTGTTACTTGATGATTTGAGTCGGTTGTTTGGTATCACCATGAATTATTATCTGGCCACACCAAATTCTGACTCTGAAACAGTGCAGTGCCTTTCTCAGAGGCTCGGACAGTGCCCCTTGCTGCTACCGCACCAGTCCGCTGGGTGCGCAGGCAGGTCCTCGGGGGCATTAAGGCTGGCCGCTGATTGCTTTACTTCCAAACCAATTAAGTCTCCACTCTCTCAGACAGCAAGCTTTAACGGTACAAGGTTCTAAACACGCCGCCTATGTTAGTGGTCGCTAGACCTGGCCAATTATCACAACTGCCCAGGGAGTTCTTGAGGAATTGAAACATCAAAATACAGAAACAAGGAAAATTTTGATTCATCGAGGCTGGGAAAGCACTTGGCTGACCGGACCAGCAGTCAGGGTTTAGAACAGGAGCGAGCTTGGCGTAACCCCGGGCAGCACACAGAAGCTGTGAAATCTGCGAAGGGCAGCCACAAGCACCGCAGCACAGACCCTGCACAGGGCAGACGCTTCTTTTAATGGGGGATGCTCTAAATGTCACATGGAATCCAGGTAGAGGCAGGTCTGTAGGGAAGGCCCAGAGTGACACCCAGCAAAGGGAAGAGCGGATGGCTAGGGATTGCGCTCAGACCCACTGCCAGGGAGAACAGAAATGCAGCACCCTAGCAGGTGCCTGGCACAGACCTGGACATTCAGAGGTGGGTGGGAAACCAGTGCCTGCACACAGGAACACAGCCTTGAGCACAAAACTGAACTGGAACCCAAACTCCTGAGCCTAGAACCATGGCTGTCGGGGTTCACGGGCCTGCCCCCCAATCCAGGAACTCAGCTTCAGGGCCTGCAGATACACAGGGGCGTTTTGAGCCCCAACACTGCACCGTGTCCAAGTCCCATCAAGGGGGTGCTCCCCACTCAGCCTGCGCGCCAACCCTGCAGGGCAGCCTGGGGGTCGGGGGAGCAGACCTGCCGCCTGAGCCACGAGGACTGGACTAGCAGCCCAGGGCGGCGAGCACAGCACTGCGTCTGCTCCTGAAATTCTGCACGTGCTACCACCGAGGCCGTGGCGGGCTGAGCTCTGCACCAGGGCACACAGACCCGAGGGACGGAGGGACACCCACCTGCTGCCAAGCATCCTATGCCCACCATGTCCCTGTCCCTGCAGCCCTCTGGCTGTGTGGGTGGCTCCCTTATCTTCTAGATTTTTGCTGGCTCAACCAATGAGCGAGCTCATGTGGGCCTTTCCCCCCCAAGTGCCATTCTGATCTTTTTTCATATACAAGGATCCTTCAAAAAGCCCACAGTGAATGGAGTTAAGAGATTGGCACTGCGGCACAGCGGATAAAACCAGAGCCTGTGATGCCAGCATTCCATATGGCGCCAGTTGGATCCCAGCTGCTCTGCCTCCAGCCCAGCTCCCTGCAATCTCCTAAGGACGGCAGCAGAGCATGGCCTGAGTCCATGGTCTCCTGTACCCAGGAGCGTGACACACAAGTTCCCGGCTTTCGCCTGGCCCAGCCCCAGGAATTGCAGCCATTTGGGGAGTGAACCAGCAGATACAACAGCAGCGGTCGGTCTCTCTCTCTCCCTCCCTCTCTCTCTCTCTCCATAACTCTGTACAGGCCTAGCATGATAGCTCAATGGCTAAATCCTCACTCTGCAAGCACTGGGATTCCATACGGTGCCAGTTAATGTTTTGGCTGCTCTACTTCCCATCCAGCTCCCAGCTTTTGGCCTGGGAAAGCAGCAGAAGATGCCCAGAAGCCTTGGGTCCCTGCATCCACATGAGACTGGGAAGAAGCTCCTGGTCTCAGATCAGCTCAGCTGTGGGCACTGTGGCTATTCGGGAAGTGAACCAGTGGATGGAAGATCTTCCTCTGTCTCTCCTTTTCTCTGTAAACCTGATCTGCCTTTCCAATTAAAAATAACTTAAATAAATACATCCAACAACAATAACAACAACAGAAGTAAAAAGTAAAGCAGGCTAGGAGACCACAAACGGACCTGGGTTTAAGTCCCAGTCCCACTCCAGACTCCAGCTTCCTGCCGAGGCACACCATGGCATGGTACTCGGGTCCCTGCTACCTGTGGGGTCCTAGGGCTGAGTCCCGAGCTCCTCACTGGAGCCCCATTCCACCTCAGCCTTGTAGGTGCTTGGGGGTGCAAGCCAGCAGGTGGGAGCTTTGTCTGTCCTTCTTGTACTCCACAAATTTAAAAAAAAAAATTCAAGGGGAAAAAAAGACATTTTTCACGAACTTTTTGACAGCCCAGAAACACTGGACCGCCACGTCTTTAACTTCAGGCTTTCCCAACTCATGCTTCTCATGGGAAGCCACAAGGGCGGCAAACCCGTGGTGTACACACACACACACACACACACACACACACACACACACACACACAAGAAAGCCCCAGGGAGTGGCCACGGAAGCTCCTCATGCCTGGGCAGCCTCTGAGGCCAACAGTCACTCCCCACATTCAGAGGTGGAACAAACGTGGTCCGATGTCATGAATGGTGCCAGTCTTGGGCCAAGAGTCCTTGCAGCTTCACTCACACGCATCCCTCCTGGACCTCAGAGATGCTTGCTGCTCCTGGATGAGGGCCACTGAATGGCTGTAGACTCCGCAACCATGCCGGAAGTCTGGTAAGCAGGTGTTTGGTGGCACCTGTTCTGTGGCCGGCCACATGGGAGGTGCTGACACTTTTGAGAATACCCGGATGCCGTGTCTCCTGTGGCCCTGCTCTCACTCTGAGTGCGGGCGAGGCCTGTGCTCCACTGGCAGGTGACCGAGCTGCTAGTGAATGCCAATGGTCTGAGGTCCTCACTCATCCAATGAGCACATGGCTTTAGCTGACCATCTGAGACATGAGGGTCTTGGAATCTCGGGCTCCCAGCTGCCTGCCTGGGAGGGCTCAGGTCTCTGACCCCGCATAGGGTCCGTGGGACTTCTAGTGCTGGCACTGCTGTACTGAGTAGTTAGATAAGTTCTTAACGTCTAAAGCTGGGGGACTCAGGTGTGTTAAAGCTGACACTGACCTTCTGCTACCTAGCCACAAGATGGGCTGACGGCAAGCTGGCACTGTGGCCACTGCTTGTGACGCTGCCATTCACATCAGTGTGCCAGCTCAAGCCCTGGTTCCTCCACCTGCAGTCCAGCTCCTTACCAACGCATCTGGGACGGCAACAGAATCTGAGCCAAGTGCCCAGGCCCTGCTGCCCATGTGTGCGACCTGGATGGAGGTCCAGGGTCCTGGTCCCTGCCTGGCTCTGACCTGGGCTACTGTGATCATTTTGAGAGTAACCGGTAGACGTTACTGTGCCTTTTTAATAAACAAATGAATCTTTTGGCTGAATTAGAACGCTCTCTTCCTGGGACCAGGGTAGGTTCCTAAGGAATGGCCCCACCCTCACATCAGTGCCACCTGATAAGAGGCCCAGAAGGAAGGCCCTGCTTCTCTAAGGGATGTGTTCAGACTATGGCCAAGGGGACAGGATTTGCACACTTTCCCTCCTTCCCTTCCTACAGCTTTGGGCGTAAGCCTGCACCCCGCTGCTGGCACGTTAGCCTCTGGGGTTTCCTTCAGTCTCGGGGACACAGGCACGGGCACTCTCTAGCATGCCATGTCTACGGGGATATGCACCAGGGAGCTGTGCCTTCTGACAGGGGACGGCTCTATCCACCCTCCGGGGACAACAAGGCTACAGAGTCCTCCTGCTCCATGGCTCAGCCCCGAGCTTGCCTGCACCCTGGCCTCAAGGGCTGGGGATCCTGCAGCTCGGGTTCCCCGCCTGTGACGTAAGCCATGCTGTGCGCTGGGGCACCCTGCCCTCCTGGCACACCGAGGCACACTAGCATCCCTGCAGTGCTGTGTCACTGGGTGTGGCTGTCCTGACCCAGGAGTCTCTCCCAGACTGGCCTGCTAACTTAGAACCAGCCCAAGCAGGCCACGTACCGTGCCTGCTGCCATGCAGAGTCCTCGGCACCATGGCAGTGAGAGAACCAGCCCAAGCAGGCCAAGCACTGTGCCTGCTGCCATGCAGAGTCCCTGGCGCCATGGCAGCGAGAGAACCAGCCCAAGCAGGGCATGCACCACGCCTGCTGCCATGCAGAGTCCTCGGCACCATGGCAGCGAGCCTGGCTTTGCTTTCCTTACGGAACCTACGAGGCAGTGCAGGCGGGATGAGAAGGACCCACAAAGGGCCACAATGCGAGGCAGGGTAGCACATGGGCCAACATGAGGTAGCAGAAGCTGCTGGAAGGTATGGCAAGGGGCCGCGCAATGCTGCCGACCTGTCCAGAGTGTGGTCTGCAGGAGTGGAGCTGGAAGACGGGACAGACCCCACCTTCCGCCACACTAGGACACCCGAAGAGCTCGCCGGATGAAGCGCTTTCATAAAACACTGTAACCTCGGTGGGGCTCCTCGTCCCTCGAGGGCCCTCTTC